TGAAAGTAACATAACTCCAGCAATACCTATCCCTATTTTTCCAAGAAATAAAGTTTACAAAAAAAAAGAAGAAAAATGCTTCTTTTCTCTAATTCTTTAGAACCCAGGAGACCAAAAAACGAAGTACCAAATGTAGATACCTAAAAAAAGAGTTAATCTCTTGTCACGACTAAACAGCTACAAAACATGCAATTTAACATTACCAAAAGCCATCATTATGAACATGTTATCTTCTAATTACCATAAAGAGAGAGAAAATTAGGAGAAATAATTTCTACCCAAATAACACTAAGTGAGCAATGCAGGATGTTTTTCTTTTATGTTTTTGGGCTGTGAAGCAGGAAAAAAGAAAGGCCCCGAATAGATTTTCCCAACTAACCAATCTTTTTATACTGAAGTAAAAAAGTATCACTATTTAAAAAAAAAACAACCATCAAATATCATATTTACTTCTCTATTAAAACGTATATGCTTACAAGACCTCCCAAATATTTAGATATTTCATTCTAAACATCATGTAGTTTCTACACTTGACCACAAAATTTCTCAAAAGTTTAAGGCATATTGACAAAAGATTATTTTGGGTCACTATAAAAATAGAACCAAAGCATCAAGCAATTTCTCTAGCATCATCAAAATAGTATAAAGAAAAAGGAAAAGGCTAAAGCTTTGTCATAAGTAAAACATCAAATGATGAATAAGCTATAACTGTAAACCAAAGTAGCACACCTGAGAATTTCTGATATAGCTCTCTAGAGATTGTTTCAAAGGTGAAAACGACCAATAAAAATATCAAAAATTTACATGATCCGAAGATTATTATACAAATGAATAAAAAAGGAATTAGTGATCAAATCTTTGATTAAATCAAGCAGTAATTATAATAATTTAAAGTAAGGCTCAGGTCTGTCAGCAAAAGTCTGATAGAGATAAGAGTACCGCTATGGCTGCAGACCCAATTACATTTGAAGGGAAGAATGAACGTCAAATGCCATCAGGGTTGCCTCGCCAAGATACGACAATCAACTTAAAGCCTGAAATACATCTAAAGAAATCAAAATTGTATCATCATAACCCAATTGTGAATAAAATAAATTAGTATATTTATTACTTTCATCTGGTGTAGTACTCCAACCAGAAGGCTATACCTTTTTCCAAAAAAATTACCATCCATACTCGTAATAACCTAGCAAGAAACAAAAGGAAACATGAAGAAATATTTAGATCAAAGGAAAAATTAAGAGAAAATTGCTCGTGAATAGACACATCTATGCAAAAAAAAAAAATGAAAGGATAAACCAATATACACCCTTCATGAAGTGTCAAATTGGAAAATTCTTGACAACAAAAAAAAACTTAAAATTTCAATGGCCCTGCAAATTGTCAAATCTTAAAACAAAGAAGTGACTATTGAACTCCTTTTGCACCCTTAAATAATTCTTTTTAGAATTGCTGACATGAAATTGACTTTTCCAAATCGTAGTTATGTTTGTCCTATAGAACCCATTTAAACTTTGGAATTCTAGGGTGATGAAATGCATTGGAGAATTAGTATTGGCCATAAAGTATAACAAACCATCCTAGCTCTCTAACAAATATTATTATTAACTGGTGTACATTCCTACTTATATGAAAATTAATCATGAAAAGTGTAAGTAGAAAATGGTAGCATAGATATAAGATGATAGGATATTTCATTGATGAAGAGCTATGCTTTACCTATCTTATTTTGGTTTGCATACAGTCCAGAGGCTTAAGATCTTCCAAAAAATTTTGAGAAGACTGTCTCAAATTGGTACTTTCCATTCGCAAGGAAAAGATACACAGAGGACCAAGCTTTAAAAAAGTTATGGAAAAAATGATCATCTGTAAAATGAAAAGGAAAAAGAAAACCACGACACAATCCAATAAGTCTATGATTGGGTAAAACTCATTCAGTTCTTTGTACAATACAATAGCACCAAAATTTGAAGTGTGTTTTGCAACATGGTCATAGTATGTATAAAGAAAAAAGGGGAAAAATGTCAAAACTGTTTCAAAAATAAATATCATACATATTTGAGACAATTCAAAAGGTATCCACCATTTGAAAATAGAGTATTAGCAGCATGCAAATAATTAAGGACCTAAGGCTAAAATTAAAGAACCACTCTATCCAATAGTGACCATCCTTCAATCAAAAAGCCACAAAAAAAGGAAAATATAACATTTTAACTTAAAAATTTTACTATTCCACGAACTGGTCTTAGAATGATTGAATCTTGATTTGGTCACGCCTTTAATATAGTAAAGTATGTTAATAACATAACCAATAGTACGAAAAAAAGTAAATAATTTAAGAAAATAGAATCTGAATGCAAACGAATCCTAACATCTTCTTGTTATTTCAGCTGCAAAAAATTAACTATACCTTTTCAACAAATGAAAAAATTGGAAAGACCAACATATCATACCAAAATTTTTTTTGCCTGCAAAGATTGAAACCATTTTAGGGACCAGTAAATCTGCTATAATTTAGGTTGTATTCTCGAAATGTTATCCCCAATAGATGATTACAAGCCAATCTTAGCTTCTTAGAACCAAATCAACGGGAATTTTTTGACAAAAAAATTGGCATTTTTGTAAACTAAAATAAATAAATGATGTTCTTGTAAAAGAAAAAAGAAAGGCAAGATCTCTGCAAATACGCATGGAACAGGTATTTAAAACAAGTATCTAAATTAGTAGGGCTCCATGATCACTTACAATGCTATTGGCCGTTAATCTAAAAAAACTCAGAAACTAAGAACACACAAAATATTTTCTTGTCAAGGATTCACAACAGAAAACCTGGAAAATTACAACCAAAACTTAATTTACCAAAATAAAACATGAAATTTACCAACTTTTCCTACCTGCAATCACAAAAAAAAGGTCAAGTTCAGATCAAATAAGTAAAAGGAGAAAACAACATGAACAGAAAATTTAATGAAAGAAAAATCTCAAAATGTTCAGATTCAAAACCTAAAAGAATTTCAGATTTGTCTCTGGCACTTGCTCATCACATACATGGATAGAAAAGGGTGAAAGGAAGAAGAGGATTTTGACAAAAAAAATTAAAAATAAGAGAGAAGAAGAGGAAAGGAAGACGACCAAGCAGAGGTAGAAACATCTGGAGCCTTTTTATCCTGCAATATAAAAAAAATAAACAGCATTAGTTTGCTCAGTCGCTAAAAAAAAAAGAAAAAAATTTAAAGGGCTAGATTATTTTTGGCAGAGGAAGAAAGAACCTCAGAGCAAATTATTTTTTCTTCTTACCATTTGTTCTCACCAAGATAGATAGAAGATAAGAAGATGATGATGATGATAAAGACGAAGATGAGAGGCTGAGGGGGGTTTCGGTGATCATGAAAAGCGAGAAACGATAGATGGAGAGGAGCAGAAAAGACGGTTCTGAATTCTGAAGCACTGAACAGTTAATTCTCACCAAACCCACATGGGTTTCTTTTACAAAGTAAAAAATGAAAAAGAAAAAGATGTGAAAGTCACATGGGACTAAGGATGCTGGGGGCTAATGGGGCGGGGGGTGGGGCGGGGGCGGGGCCAGGGGAAATTTTTTTCCCTCCGCTTAGAAACGGGGTGGGAGGGGTGGGGGAGTGTACCCTCGCCCCGCCACCCGCTTTAAAAAAATAAATATATAAAAAATATATATGTATATAATTATATATATAATATATAATTTAATTAGTTACAAATTTATGATAATGATATTATTAGTTATATGTATTATATAATATATATTAGTATATGTAATATAATTGATATTATCAATTATACTAATAATTATATATGTGTACTAATACAAATTATTAATTGGTTATACTAAATTTACTAATACATTATACTAAATCCCTAATTACACTTAATACAATAACATTTTTTTCTAAAAAAAAAAGCACAAGCAGAATAATGAATTAGTGATTGTATTTGAGCTAAAAGTGAAAACTTGACTACTTTAGTTGTATTTATTTCATCATGTTGGATTGTATTCAAATAACTTTTGTTTGATTGTTTTTATAAGTTTAAATTGTGAAATTACAATGAATAATAATTTGATGATGTGTTGATATTTTAATACTTAATTATTTGCTAAAACTTAATTATAATAAAATTATATAACAAATTTTTATTAGTCCTGCGAGAGCACCCGCGGGGAAGCGAGGCGGGTCGGGGGGAATTCGTAGGCAGCGTCCCCCGCCCCATTGCCATCCGTACATGGGACAAGATTTCAGTGGAAGATTTCGAAACAAACAAAGAAACAAAAGAATTGCCAGACGTCCAATTCACACAAGCGAATTCACACGAGCAGGACGACCGTCAATTGGCCAATGGCAGATCGACACATCTGCAATTAGGATTAATTGGAAATCATTGCATTCACGCATACACTAGATATGTTAATAAAGGTAGGCAAGTGCACGTGATTGGGATGTGAACGATAAAGAATTATAATCCCAATATTATATATTTTTTCTTTAATAAAAAGGGTATTTTCGAAACTTGAACAAATCTTGATGACAGCTGGACACAATAAAGGCAATTTCGTCATCCCAAGTTTCCTTTTTCCTGATGTCAAGTAGAATCACTAACGCTTCTTAACAGCAAGAGGGTAATTGTTAAATGCCTGGTTATTCAAAAAGTGGTGGACTGTTATTTGGTCAAATCTCAGGGATCGATTGGTTATTTGGTCAAACTTCAAGGGAGGTAAATGTAATTAACCCTTTAACTAACCCTCTAAAGTCACAGTTCTGATACTAACCGCTTTTGAAACGAAAATAAACCTCTCCCTACCTTTATTTTCCTAGCTAAATTACTGCTTGGAAATAATGCATTTTTACACAAAATTATGCTAAATAGTAAATAATTGTTCAATTTGTTACTGTAGCAGAAATTAGCAAGAGCCCAAAACCGAATGCGTCTCTCACACAACCCTCTTGGCTTCTATGAATTTCAAGAAAAATAGAAATACTAAAAAGGTTTTAGAAGTGTATGGAAATTTGCAATAAATTGCTCCTATCTGTTCATCTATATTCTTCATCCTTCGAAATTCACACCATTGTTGTGTCCTCTCTTCATTCTTTAACAGACTGATGATCAATTTTGTGTAGAGAGTGGCAGAGAATCTTTGTATCATAGTTTGATAGCAGTGATTTTTTACAATAAAGGAATAAAGATGGGTTCCTCACAAAATGTCAAGAACCCTTTAAAAAGAAGCTTTGAAAGCATGAATTCCATGGCTAGAATAACCAGTGAAGCCATGGATGTTGATAAAAATCAAAGCTTGATGCCAACAAGGTATGTGTTCCATTTTTAAGTAATTTTTTTCTTTCAAATTTTCTGCCAATTCCTGAATGTTCTTGATTGATGATCGGGCTGGTTTTGCTATGCATGCATTTGTTGTAGCTACCAAGTTGAGATTTTTGAAGTTGCAAAGAGGAGAAACACAATTGCAGTGTTGGACAGTGGTGCTGGGAAGACCATGATTGCTGTTATGATGATCAAAGAATTAGGCCAATCTCTCAGGCTTAATGGTGAAAAGAAATTAATAATTTTCTTGGCTCCTAGTGTCCACCTTGTTCACCAGGCATGCCCCCTTCACTGTTAACCTCTTGCTGTTTTATAGATGTTGCTTTCGATGATGAAGTAAGATTAAACTTCTTGTTTTTTGACTTGTTAATACTGGGTTTATAAATTTCTGAGTCTTCCAATGCTAATTTTTGCTATTCTTAATTTGTTTTAGTTTCCTGTTAAGTGCTTGTCTTGCATTATGTGTTTTTTCTAGCTCGAGGACATTTTAAGTGTAATCTATGGCTTTTGGTTTGCAAAGGAGTATTTGGTGCCCTGTAATGGGCTAAAAAATTGATAATCTTTAATGTATATATTATTCATGGGAGCCCTTGAAAGAACTAAGTTACAACTTTTTGTTTAATTTTCTTTCTTTCGTATTGTTTGCTGTCTTTTTTTCCTCATTTTTATTGCATTGCAGCAATATGAGGTAATAAAATGTCACACAGAGCTTGAAGTTGAGGAGTTGTTTGGGGCCAAAGGTGTTGATGATTGGCATAAGGAGACCTGGGAGAAAGCAATCAATGCACATGATGTAAGTTGGATCTGCTTAATGCTGTCTTTATGAGAAAGTTTTTCTCTTTGAGTAACTGGTGTTACCTGTAGAATTCGGTTCCTCTTGGGTGTATTCATTTGAATAATCAGCATGATTCCTCTACTGAGTGACTTAACATTTTGGTTCTACCTTAATATAGTTATATAGATTGAACCCAATCAATGTATATATATTTGCTCTATTATGAGTATGACATAGGAATTGCAGGTTTATTATGTAGAACAAACATCTCTGCTTGCAGATATGAGTTTGGTGGACACCATGTTCGCAGGAGCCTCATAAGGGGTTTCACCCTGAATTGATTTCGAAGTAATGCCTGAATTTCATCATCTTCTATATTTTGTTAGTGCAATCAGGTTGATAGTAGTGAAATCAGTTTTTAAGGAACTGAACGGGAAGCAGTACTGCTGTCTACCGAGTTAGATTCTCAACACTCTATGGACTTCATTAAACTACCATGCATATCATTGATGTTAAAGAATATCTGACTTGTGAAATTAACATTATGATATTTAAAGTTTAACACTGTGAAAATTATCTGTTACTTTCCTTAGGTTATGGTTATGACGCCCCAGATTTTATTGGATGCTCTGAGGAAAGCTTTCATGAGTCTGGATGTTGTATGCTTAATGATTCTAGATGAGTGTCATCATGCCACTGGTAACCATCCTTACACAAAAATAATGAAGGTGAAGGTCACTTCTTATTATTCTATTGAATTGTTTCACTCTTCATGTATTCACCCTCCAAATGGTTTTATTAATGGGGGAAGAGGCTGGTTGTGGTAGCCACCTGATGTATATTTGGAACCAGTAATTTTTGAACACATTCTGAGTAATTTTGATTTGAGGTCCCCTCCCTCCCTTGGAAAAGGTTTTCTTCCTAAAAAAAAAAGCCAATAATAATAGGTTATATATATATTTTTGCACCCTTGCTCTCCTGAAGTTCTCGTATTCAGACTCTACCAGGTGTGCACCGCATCTTCGCCTCCTGCTCTTCCTTACACTCTCCTCTCCCAAAATAGTTTTCAAAATAAAGTATATTCATCTGCATTTTCTTGAATAAATCTTTTGAATTAACAATCTGATTTCTCCAATTTTTCCTTATGAAGGACTTCTACCATGATAAATTTAGAAACAAGCCAAAGATCTTTGGTATGACTGCATCACCAGTAATTAGGAAAGGTAGTTGCTCATTTTCTTTCTTACATTTGCTAATAATTTTTTTCCATTTGTGGAGCTGAAATAGATTTTTTTTAATCTATATTTTTTGATTGCCATATGATGAAGATTGCATTTGCTGAATATGGTTCATCTTGTCTTGGAAGAGTGCTAACATGTAGTTCTTCATGTATTTCAGACAATTTATCTGCACAATTTTGTCTATTGATTCAAGGGTACAAAATTCTAGAATTCTAGACTTTTGCTATTGATGGCCTATGTATATGGATGCTTGATACTTGGTTATGGGTCATTCTGTTGTTCTCTTTGTGGCAAAAATGTGCTAATATCTAGTGCTTCACATTATAAGTTCTAGAACTTCTAAACTTCATGATTTAACCTTAGATTTGCAAGTATTTGTAGTAGTGTTTTCCTCTCGTTTGGGCCCATGATCAACAGTCTTTCTGTTCTTTACATGAGTGTGAAATTCTTTCTGCGAATTTCTCCATCTACATAATCTCTGTGTCAAAGGATTTTTTGATTTTTTTTTTCAACGTTAGAAAGCCCTTTTTTCCCCAACTACAGGAAACAAATAAAACTTTGGTTATTTAATTGGGTTATCAAGTACTAGTGTTATCCTAACAGATTTAATTTTAAAGATGATGGCAATTTTAGCATTTTAGGAAAATATATTTTAAGTCTATTCTCTTATCCATTTAGCCTTTTGCTTAAATAGCTATGCTGATATACTAACTTAGCTGACACTGTTTTTTTTATTCTTGTTCCATTGAAAATAGTTTCCTCTCTAGATCAAGCAAGTAGCATGAGTGTTTCCCAAATGAACAATAGTTGATCTTCTGACTTGTTCTTCCAACTCAACAAGGAACTTGAGCCTTTGTTTCAATATTTCTGGTGCACTCAGTCTCTTAGCTGTGACCGTTTTGACTAGATAAAATGTCTTTCTTTTTCTAGTTGTCTTGCTTCGTTATCTGTTACTTGTTTTGGTAACTATTTTGATCAAGGTTTTCACTTGTTTTGTCTATTGTAATTTTTGCTATTGCATGAGTTTATGTGCTTCATGACACCAGGTGTAACATCCACCATAGTCTCTGGGCGGCGAATATCAGAACTTGAAAGTCTTTTGGATTCCCAGGTAATATTTCAATGTCATTGGAAGATAGTATTTATCCTGTCCAGGATACTTGGTTGGTTAACAAATGTAATGTCTATGCAGATTTATGCAACAGAGAACAGGGCAGAGTTGGAGGAATCTGTCCCTTCTGCAAAAGATGTTCGTAGATTTTATGACCCTCCATCATCAAATTTGGAATTGGAAACATTGGAGGCAGAAATTGAGCATCTACGAGAGAAGGTGATACCATCTGCATAATATGTACATAACGAACATTGCATATGGAGATAAATAAATGTGCAGATGCATCTAGAAGAATACACCCCTGCCTGTCTTATTCTCTCCTTCTGCACAACTAGTTGGCGCTGTATGGGGAGATGCAAATAATTTCACCTCTCACCCTACATCCTGCTCGGAGATTGTCTGGTTTAACTTTTTCTACTTTAGCATCTCTAAGACTTGAGTGTTTGTTAAGGGCATTCTCAAGTACTGAGAAGCGTACAGTATTCATTGTGAGTCCTTGAGGCAGGTTAAGGTTGTTAGTTTCTGATCCTTTCTTTGGGTGACCAAAAAAAAAAAGAAGGAAATATAAGAATTCCAAAGTGGTCATTAACAGGAAGCAGAGAAAGGTAATGCAACAGAACCTTGGTTTAAATCTGATAGCAACTCTATTACTCACTAGCCAAAGTATATGTTATGGGGCCATCAACACAAATGCTAACATGTTTGTATTTGATTGAAAATAAGGCAACATCATTTGGCCCATTTCTTTTGTTTTGGTGAGTATTCAGTGTATTTAACTTGGATGGTTAGTATTGTCTTATGTAGCAGTTATTAAAGTGCTGAAAAGGTATAGATGGTTCCCATTGTGTCCCTAGTTCAAAAATCCAGAAAGAAATGGATGCAAGTTGTTGGTTCAATGTTGGTTATATTCATATGTACAATATTAAAATGGAATTGGCTGCATGAATGTGCAACTCATTCTACATGAACAAATGGCAGTATTATTTTCTAACCTGCCTGACGTTTTGCTGTTCTTACCCTTTCTTTCTTTCTCCTTACATTGGACAGTTTGATGCTGCTTTGCTTGATTTGCAATGCTCCCTCCCATGCCAGTACAAAGACATTAATGATAAAGCCGTGATGTTTCAAAAGAGGTTGTCGAGTGATTATGCAACTATTTTGTGGTGCCTCGACAATCTTGGCCTTATATGTGCATATGAGGTAAGCAGGTCCGTACAAGGATACAATTTGGTATAATGTATGAAAAGTATGAAGTATCTATAGATTTGGCAACTTTGTGAACGTCATTTGCAGTTTTAAGTCAGTAGTTAAGTTAGGTAGGATAATGATCATGCAAGTTCAGTTATGTGAGTATTTCAGTTTGTGACTTAGGTTTTGTTTGCTTTTGTTTGAGATATTTTGTTTGGTGTACTTATTCCGTATTATTTGCATGTATCAAATCAAGAGCTACCATTTCTTCTTCATCTTTGATTGTTTTACTGCACCAAGTTTCTTATTTGCTCTAGCTTTATACATGACTGCAAACTTGATTATGGTTTTAGAACTCAAGTTCCTTCTTGTGCAGGCTATTAAAATCTGTATAGAGGCTGCCTCTAATGTTAAGGAAGAGTGTGAAGCTTTCTCATCTGAGAAAGCTTCACTGCAGTATAACTATTTTCTTGAGGAAGTACTATCAACAATTCTGAAATCATTGCCTCAAGGTATGTTTTGACTTTATTGGATATATACATATGGAGGAAATCTTGATTTTACTGCCTGCTTGCCTTTTTGGGGTCATTATTTAGTTAGCCTCTTCATCATGGATTGCAGGTAGTATTTTCCATGACACGGTATAGGTGTAAGAATTTATCTCCTTTAAGCAGTGTGTTCCTGATCTTAGTGATTGATACTTGCATCTTTGGGGTGGATGGTGGGTGCTCAGATGTTGAGGAAGGATATACCTTCTTCAGAAAAACTTTTAGTGCTTAGGAATTGTGATCAAACTCTAAATATAATTAAAGTAGGATATGTGGTGGAGAGCAGTTTTTATGGTTCTGATATGAGAGGAGGACTGAATGCATTTTCTCTTTCCTCCTTTCAATTTATCCTCCCATTCCCTCTTATGTACATGTCTCCAGGATTCTTTGAGTTTTGCTGTATCTTTTCATTAGTTGTTTGTTTACCTGTAAGAAGCACTTATGAATTTGATTTTATGCAAGATTCTTGAGCCCCTTGGGAGCATACTGTTGTAAGCTGATCTTCAAGAGGAATTTAACAAGAGATAAGAAGCAACTTTTTCAATCTTGTAGTGAAGTTCTTATTCATGGGCCCGTTATTTCTTTAGCCTGTGCAGTAATGCAATAAACTATGCTTGCAAAAAGATGGATGTCTTCTCAATGAGCTTATCTTTTCTAAGTGGTTTACAATAATCTATGTCTTATATTATTGTAATGTTTTGACATACTAATGCCTTTGTGGTCTTTAATTATGTGAATATGGCCAGTTTTGAAGTTTTTGTATAACCAGTTAACCATTTCTAGTTACTTGCCTAATTTTCTCTGAAAGACTTAAAACCTTCCTTCTTGTTTCTTATCAACTCTGTACGCAGTCAAACTCTATCTAGTGTCTTGCGTTTTGACAGTCTTTACTTTGGCGACTCGTTTTTGTTGTTTCTTGTTATTATGCTAGAGTAGTCCGAAAAGCAGATAGGAGTATACATTTTCTGCTCCACTTTAGTTTTTGATGTGACAATTTCTTTCATGTGTCCTTAGATCACGAGAAGCTTCTAGGTGTTGGATATAATTCTTCAGCTACTATATGTAGAGGCTATATCTCTTCAAAAGTATGTGAGCTTTTGGAGATATTCAGATCATTTGGGTAATACTCTGATTCCATTACTGAAATTTGAAAATATGTTTCAGCATTTATATTTCTCTTTATTAGTCCTTTCTGCATCATTTTCTGTTTTATAACCTCCTTTTTCTCCAATCGCAGGAAAGATACTAAAGTGTCGTGTCTCATTTTTGTTGAAAGAACTATAACAGCAAAAGTACTTGAGCAACTCATTAAGAGAACTGCATGCTTGTCTCATTTTGGGGTTGCATACATGACGGGAAATAACTCATTAGTTGATGCATTGGCACCAAAAGCTCAGAAAGAAACCCTTGAATCATTCAGAGTTGGGGAGGTCACCAAAAAAACTGTTTATGAGTTTAGATGAAATTATTGCAATTGTGGTATTGATTACTGATGAGTAGGACATTCTTTAATAGGTCAATCTATTATTCTCAACTGATGTCATTGAGGAGGGAATCCATGTACCTGACTGTAAGTTTGTTGTGCGCTTTGATCTACCAAAAACAGTTCACAGTTATGTCCAGTCACGTGGACGAGCTTGTCAATTGGGCTCTCAATTTATTGTCATGCTTGAGAGGTGAAGACAATTTTCTCTCTCGCCTCCAGATTTCAAGATTTTGCAAAAAATAGCACTGTTGCTGAGACTGAATTGCTTTAGTCCATTCAGTGTAGTTTGACTCTTTTAAATTGCAGGGGGAACATCAGACAAATGGATGACTTGTTTAACCTCATTAGGAGTGAATTCTCAATGAATAATACGGCGGTAAGCAGAGATCCTGATGCTTGTGTTAAAAAATCTTGTCTTATGAAGGAAAAAGATACATATCTTATGAAGGAAAAAAATACATATGTGGTGGAGGCAACTGGAGCATCAGTTGCTGCAGATTCAAGTGTTAGCCTCTTACAGAGATATTGCGACAAACTCCCAGGAGACAAGTATGTATACTTGATATTATCAAATCTATACAGACGAGAAAACTCTGTGATTAGGGGATGGTTTCTTGATGTAACTTTTTGTATCTTACTTGGATCACTAGTGATGCTTTTTGGCAGGTACTTCATTCCAAAGCCAATGTATCAGTACTTACTGGTTGGACAGTCATATCAATGTCAATTGACTTTACCTCCAAATGCAGCATTTCAAACTATGACTGGCCCTCTTTGTAGGAATACTCTTTTGTCCAAACAGCTTGTGTGCTTGGAAGCATGTAAAAAGCTGCATCAGATGGGGGCTCTCAGTGATCATCTTCTTCCTATCAGTGAAAAGCCTTCCCAAAGTAGTTCCCACCCAAATTGTAAAGCATTAGCATCAGGTGCAGGTATATTACTTATGTACCTTAACTGAATGTTTAGTATAATAGTGCCTTTTGCTCCTTAATAATAATTCTTCCATGGTTGCACTCTCTGTTTGTAATCTTATTTAAGATGCAAAATTTTCCCTTCCCCATAATTTTGATCTGTCATCATCAAAGACAATGTTCGTCAAATAAAAAAGGGAAAAACATAGGGGTTTTGTTTATATGTGGAAGTGTGGAAAAATAGGGATTTAGATACCCATAAACATACAAGCCCTGCAATGCTTAGAAGTCACAATGAATAAACTACTGACACATGAATTGAATTCCGAAAACATTTTCCATGGTGGGTAAAAACTACAAGTAATAAAGATGCACTGAACTACTATCATTTTTTAATGGGACTTAAGTCATGCTTCACCCTTATCTTTACTTGTCAGATGAGAATTTCTCTCCGATTAACTATGGATGGCTTACTGTATTTGATTGAATAAACTGTCCTGAATCATACTCCACTTTCTAAGATTTCTACTTGTGCACTTAGCTTAGTCTTTTATCGAGTAGTGCCTGCTCAACATGGTCTTTTACCTCTCAAAGTTATGAAGGTATATCCGTCTATTTTGCTTTTAGGAACAACAAAGAGGAAAGAATTGCATGGAACCACCTGCATTCGTGCGCTGTCTGGGACTTGGGGAGACAAGCTTGATGGATTTGTTTTTTACGTATATAAGATAGACTTTTCTTGTAAAACTGAGCAACTTTATTCCAGCTTTGTTCTTTTGCTCGAGTCAAAGCTAGATGATGATGTAGGAAAAACTGAAGTGGACCTGTATCTAATCTCAAAGTTTGTCAAATCTACTGTTTCTGCATGTGGCCAAATTCATCTTGACGCAGAACAGGTTGAACTCTCCTTCACTGAATCAGGATTTTTTGGCAAAATAACAAGCCTTTTTCTCTTCTGTAGCTAAATGCTAAAAGTCATTTTACTGTGATCAGGTGGCAAAAGCAAAATGCTTCCAAGAATTATTTTTCAATGGGTTATTTGGTAAATTGTTTATCAAATTGTCTGGAGAAAGGAAGTTCCTCTTTCAGGCACAGGAAACATTGTGGGACCCATCAAACATGTATTTGCTTTTACCCGTAGAGTTGTTAATCAATTGCTCTGAGCCCTGGAGAATAAATTGGGGAGGAATTGAATCTTGTGTTTCAGTGGTGGAATTTTTCAAGAAGCATGCTTGGATAAGTGCTGAACGGTCTGAAAGCAACAGGAAAAACATGTTAGTTCATAGACCTGATCCTGATGGAAGTGATGCAGAAAGCACAAATATCATCCATCTGGCAAATACATCAATTTCCTTAAATAATCTGAAGGATATGGTAGTTGTGGCCATCCATACTGGCAGAATTTATTCTATTATGGCAGCAGTCGATAATACATCAGCAGAAAGCCCTTTTGATGCCAATTCTGATGCTGAACCATCAAGTTATTCATCGTATGCTGATTATTTCAATAAAAAGTAATTCCTGTCAAATTTTTGATCTCTCTATCCTCCTTACGCCATCGTCATATTTTTGCCCCGCCCCCCCCCCCCCTCCTGGATAAAAGACTAGGAAAACTTATTGTATTGCAATTTTTACTCCTGTTCAGGTATGGAATTGTTTTAGTGCATCCTCAGCAGCCTTTGGTGCTGCTAAAGCAAAGTCATAGTTCACACAACCTTCTGGTGGATTTTAGAAATGAAGGTACATCGCCTCTTGCATTTCTTTTTTCTTTTTTTAATTCTTTTCGTCTTGCTTGGAGAGATTTTCATACTTACACTATCTATCTTGATAAACCTGGAATTTATAGTAAAGGAAAAGGAAAATCATTGAGAACGTAATCTGCTTTACTAAGCACTTAATTCTCAAAGTGCTTGAGGTTCAGAACTTTTGATTTTTGCAAATTTCATGTATCTCCTTGATGCTAGTTCGTATATGCACTTATGACATGGACTAAAGTTCCTTTTTCTAGATTTTTTGTTGGTTCTTTTTTTTTTCTTATGGGGGGAAAGAACTTGCTGAACCTGCCTGTGCCATTTACTGCTTTATATAAGTGAAAATTTGGAGCTTAAATGCCACTCTCTCTCTCTCTCTCTCTCTCTCTTCGTGTGAGCTTTGTACTTAAGTGAGTTTTCTTTAGGTCTAACTGTTTACCAGTGTGGACCATTCTGTGAAGATGAGACACGAATGGAATTTAATTTTTCACTTAATTTTCTTATTTGTGGTGCTTTTACCTTTGCAATTGCATCCGATGTGGTCTAATGCTTGTGCAGAATGGAGAATATGACCATATAGGGCTCTAGATTCTCCTTCAAGAAACAATCCATGTTGATAATGTTATCTTCTTATACTTAAACCAGACTGAAACACAAACTTTTGGATATTTACTTAATTCTACAATATTATTTCTATACTTGATTGACAAATCTCACAGGAGAAATTTTGCTTGAAAAAAAAAGGAAGAAATCATAGTTCTGTTGGTTTCATCTCACAGGAGAAGTTCTCACAGGAGAAGTTTTGAGCAGTTGAAGATGAAGCTGGTTCAGTTTCAATCTAAATCTGAAACCATCTGCAGTTACTCTCATGTATTTCTAAGAAGTCCTAAATAATTAGTTCCTTGCATGCATGCCTGAGAGCTACTCCACATTTTCTAATTCGCATTCTATTGAGCCAAAAGTCACAGTTTCTGTTGAATAATTTGATCATTCTGTAATTGTTAATATTTAAATGGATATCTGCCATGATGACTGACCCGTCAAAATTCCAAACAACATTTACGTAGTCCGCTTAAATTGTGTTGGGTTGGAAAATAGAGTTCGTTTACTGGTTTTATGAAGGTAATTCCTAGTTCCAGAGAACTAGTAAACAAAGTTTTAGTTGATTTTGGCATATAGATGTGCCTTGTCGAAGTCAATTTCACAGTATCTTCTGGATAAGCAGGCACTTCACGTGGAAAGAAATTGCATGGTGACAGTAGGATGGCTGTTGAAAAGCCACGATGCTATGCTCACATGCCACCAGAACTTCTAGCCAGCATTGATGTCTCACATGATGTCTTAAGATCATTTTATTTGCTACCTTCCATAATGTACCGACTGGAGTCTCTGATGTTGGCAAGCCAGCTCCGAGAAGAGATTGCCCTGAATTCTCAAAACATACATATAGCAAGCTCGTTGGTATGTGTTGCTGTTACATTGGGCAAAAATTGTCCTCTAAAATGCTATTAATTCCTGATTTTATTGATGTTTCTTTTCGTAATCAGATTCTGGAGGCTCTTACAACTGTAAAATGTAATGAAAGCCTTTCCATGGAACGCTTAGAGTTGCTCGGAGATTCAGTGCTAAAATATGTTATGAGTTGCTACCTCTTTCTAAAACATCCCAAAAAACATGAAGGACAATTATCTGCTCAGCGTTCAAGGGCTGTGTGTAACTCCACCCTGCATAAATTGGGAACTGATTGCAAGTTGCAGGTACTTCTTTTACTTGGAAATATGTTATCTTGAAGATTTTGTTTATTGCTTATTTCTGCTTGTGCTTGAAATCGTGTCATACATGCATGTGGTTGTGTTTCCCTCCCTCCCTCCTCCCTCCAGCCCTTGCTTTCTGTTTCACAATTGATGGAATTATCCAGAGCCGACTATTCTTCATTTAGGTCTTGCTGACTTCTACTCCTTTCTTAAGCAGTTTGGACTTGGATTCTTGACCTGTTTTAAATCTTTTTTAGTTACTATATATTTTATTGAGCTTCCATTGCAATATTAGCACTGGTTAGTCATCGTTCAATCAGTGGCTGCTGAAACACTGGAGTTTGTGATTTTCACATCCTATATGCAAATGAACTCTAAATACTGCTTAAGTAGTCACAGATGACTTGCACTAAAAGATGATAAATAACAACTTGCATAACTATGATATCAAGTCCTTCCACCAAATTTGGGATAGAACAAAGGTTCTTGGATTTGGTTAACTGTGGTGTCAGATGGTTTCTTTTGAAACTGGAAGTAGCAAAGGTACAAATATAGTCACATGGAAAATTAGGCTGTTTATTTGAAATTAATTCGCAGATGAAGGAGCATTAGAGAAAGGCATTTCCATTTGCTATTTTTGGGCATGATACTAATGTTACTCTTCATCCTTCCTATCTCATAGAGTTGCTAGCATCTATAGTGAAAGGTCTGATCCTAATAAGGTGCTGCCTTGTTACCTGCTGTGGATGGCTATGTGACAGCAACTGCACCATTAGTGAATTAATAACTGGGAGTGGCGGTCTTTCAGTTGCACTCTTAAGGCAAAAACAAAACCTTTCCTTAAAACCAGTCTAAGACTAGCCTATCAACAAATACATCCCTAAGATGGTTTGGTATAGTTACCACACATGACTTCAACTGCTGTTAATGAGAATAGGTATTCATTATGCTAGGGAAGGAAAGCCTTCCACTTATATCAATAAACAATAGAAAACCAGGAGCGGGAACGCTTCCTCCAGCTAGGATGCAGAATAAAAGAGGTGGGTCAGACTTCCTATTGAAAGCTGCACAATAACCTTATATTCATGGATATATTAGGTTTGACTGCTATAACTCTCTTTTGCAAATTCGATAAATGTTGGTTTATCTCTTATAAACCCAGGGGACTCTTACCCAGGGAGTATGAGGTTGTGGTGCATCAGTTCCTTTCCAATAAGTCGTGTTTTGTAAATTGTATAAAAAAAAGCCACAGCCCATTGGGGTTATTACTTTCCAGCAAAGAAAAGCTTTAAATCTTACCTTGTTTTTAGAGAGAGGTTTGGAGTTTTTTGCCCCAACCTGCTAGGGAGCCGTTAGACTGCAGCATGAGGCTGAAAAACGTAATAGGCTAGCACGCTCTGCTGTTGGTCCTTGAGTCAGTTAAGTTGGAAGCAAAGTGTCGGCCCATGGGCCAAATGAATAGAATGATGCCCAATAGCAATACTCTGATAATTTGTTTGATTCTGTTCAAACGTAGAGATGTAGAAGTTCAAAAGCATTCCTAACAATCTTCCTATGTGCTTTTTACAGGAATGACAACTGACATTCTCTACTTTCGGGAGCATAATTTTGTTTTTGGATAAATATAAGATGAGCTAAACATACATGTTATTGCAGTCAGACCATTTATTCGATCTGGAGAAAGAATATTTAACTCTTAACCCTTGTGAAGCATTTTGATGGTTGCTTGAAATAATACTTGTCTGCATTCATACATCAAGATATGATCTTTCCTCTGTTCCTCACTCTACCTCAACCTCCCAAACTCTCTCCCAATGTGCACACCAAAAATGAAAAATATTATAATCAAACGAAGGGAGATAAAGTATATACAAAGTAAACAAATAAATAACTAAAAGTTATTGACATTCTTGCACTATCATTATTGGAGATTGAGTTTGTGGTCGAGGCAGTTAAAAGCGAAACTAATTCTTATCCATCTTTCCTATTGTATGCCACAATTAAATAGAATGTGTTTTACTTTATTTGACTAAGAAAATGCTTTTATATTTCGTTGCATTTCTTATGTACAGAATTATATACGGGACAGTCCATTTGAACCACGTCGCTGGACTGCTCCAGGGCAGCATTCTATATGGCCTAATCATTGTGAACATGGGGTGGATACAATAGAAGTGCCTTTAGACGGAAAGTTCATTACAGAAGACACTAAAGTAGTAGTTGGGAAGTGCTGTGATAGAGGTCACAGATGGATTGGATCAAAAACAATATCTGATTGTGTTGAAGCCCTAATAGGGGCATACTATGTTGGTGGGGGATTGGGTGCTGCAATTGGGTTGATGAAATGGCTTCGGATTGATGCTGAACTTGAGCCTGCATTAGTTGGTGAGGCCATTAAGGTTGCATCTCTTCATTCATATGACCCAAAAGCCAAAGACATTGGAATCCTGGAGATGAAGCTTGGTTATGAATTCAGAGTCAAGGGGCTGTTGCTAGAGGCCATTACACATGCAACTGAACAAGAGCAAGATGCTAGTTTCTGTTACCAGGTAGGATAAAAACTTCAATAAGTAAATTATTTCTGTCATTATTCGAATTCAATCTATAATAAGGAAGCTTTTGCATCAATATTGGCCTTGCTGATGTTGTAGCTGAGTTATCTTGAGGTTGTCAAGGTCAAGAGTTTTGTGCCTAAAAGGGGGATGAGTAAATATACATGTCATCATTTTTATCTTTATTTCCTTTCTTGTAGACATGGATATTTTCTGTGCACAATTTTCTGATTTTGGTTTTCTGATTAGAGGCTGGAATTTCTTGGCGATTCAGTGCTGGACATACTTATAACTTGGCACCTTTATCAAAATCACTCTGACATTGACCCTGGGGAATTGACAGATCTGCGTTCTGCCTCTGTGAATAATGATAGTTTTGCTCTTGCTGCTGTTAGACAGAAACTTCATCTGCATCTTCAACATTGCTCTGGATTCCTTGAAGATCAGATTTCGGCATATGCTAAGTCTGTGTCTGATCCTTGCAACAGTACAAAGTCACTCCAAGTTACAAAAGCTCCTAAGGTCAGTTTCTAGTTACTTCACTGGCATTTCAATTTTACGATGGCAATTTTGTTTTGTCTTGTATGTAGCTAATTTTATTTTATATGTGTTAGTATCACGTGCATATCTTCATGCCCTACAGGTACTGGGGGACTTGGTGGAAAGTATTGCTGGGGCAATACTAATTGACACCAAACTCAATCTGGATGAAGTCTGGAGGATATTTAAGCCGCTGCTTTCTCCTATTGTGACCCCTGATAAGCTTGAGCTCCCTCCACTTCGTGAACTAATTGAGTGGTGTGATTCTGTTGGTTACTTTCTAAAACAAATTTGTACAACAAAGGGTGATTTGGTGAAGGCAGAGCTTATCTTACAGCTAGAAGATAATCAGTTAGTTAAAGAGGGTTGTGGACCAAATAGAAAAATTGCTAAGGGTCAAGCAGCTCTTCTTCTGTTGAAGGACTTAGAGGTTTGTCCTGTAGGTTTTCCAAATTATTCAGGAATTTTTTGGATGTTGTCTAATTATGATCCTCTTACTAACAACAGGAAAGAGGAATTCTGTCTAAAAGGCCAAAAGAAGAGAAAGATGATGTTTCTTGTACATCTTTACCAAGCTCAGATGGTATCTGCTGTTTAAAAAATGAAGGTACTGATCTAAAATTTAATAAAAAGCAGAAGATTATTCAGGTGAATCCAGGGCCAGAGAGTGGTGATCCACAGGGCTTTGATTCTGATAGGCTCAATATACCAGGTACTGTAATCATTGTTCTTCCTGGCTTAAGAGTTAATCATGGCGAGTAACATAGAAGAATATATTGCAAATCCCGGTTCTAGCTACTTTGAATGAGAACCTAAAGCCCCTGTGCCTGTTGGTGCAGGCAAGGCCTTTTATCCCCAATATATTCTCTAAGTGTTTTCATTTATGGTTTTTGTGCAGACTTCCTTGCTAAGTTGTTTCAAGATTAGTTTCAAATAAAATTAGTAGCTTTAGTGGTAAGAATAATGTTATGGAGCTATTTGCTCCGGCTTCTAAAAAGACATGATAGGATTGGGTTAGTTAAAGACATCAGAGAACCTGAGGGGGATTATCTGTATGCGCATACTGTACTCATTTTATCATTCTATGTTTGCACAACCTTGTGGTGGAAAACTTACTTTGGAGTCAATTGTTTAGCTGCACGCCTGATGTTTATCTTCTTGGCAGTACTTCCACCAATTGACATGAAAAAAGGAGGGCCACGGTCCTCTCTTTTTGCTCTCTGCAAGAGACTGCAGTGGCCAATGCCTACTTTCCATACCACAGAGCGCAAGTCAAGGTTAGTGAGTGCTGCTGTTTTGGTGATTTTTCTTGATTTGTATCGTACCAAATATAAACATTCCCCCTAGAATAAGTTGAATCCAATTCTAAAGTATTATTTTCTAGTTAGATATAAATATCTTGTACTTCAATCCTGACTAGTATTTCCCTCCACAGATCTCAAATGGTAATTGGTGAAGGCTCTGAGCAGAGAACAGGGTTTAATAGTTTCGAATCTGATATCACCTTGATCATACCAAACTCTGCTACTATAGTAGTCAAAGGAGATCAAAGAGCTGATAAGAAGAGCTCATTTGACTCAGCTGCCTTGACCATGCTTTATGAGTTACAACAACAGAAAAGGATTGTCATTCGTGCACAGTGATTTTCTGTTCTGCCAAAACACTGCCAAACCGATTTTTCTAGTAAGTATATACAAGCGGAGAGTCTCTTCTACTGGATATTGTCACTGAAATACTATGTATCACATTGAAAATGATGATCTACCAAAAATAAGATTTAAGGATTTGGCAGAGTTGGCCAATAAGCAGTTTTCCATTTTGCTTTGAAGAGTGTTTTATAAGCACTTGAACTGGACAATTATTGGCTGGCCCATGAACCTAACTATTATCTTAACGAATTCAAAATCCTACTAAAATCTACTAGTACATTCCTAGTAGAGCTTCAACATTGCAAATTCTTGACATCATTAGTTAGTAGGAAATGGATTTAGAATTTGGGATTTTGATGATAAATATACCATTTCAAATTCCAAAAGAAAAAAGAAAGAATTCAACAAAGCAACTATATAGTATTGACAGAAAACATAGTACACTTTTGTCTGTTTTTGCCCCAGTTTCCAAATCTTGGTGTTTACATGAAAATCTTCTAGGGAAAGTGCATCTGGAGGAACCATAAAAGTGTGAATTGGGAGTCCAGCAAAGGTGCACCGTAAGTGTACCTAGCCTTTTTAAGTACACAAGTTTTTCTACAGCGTAATTTGATCATCAATCGGGTGCATTGTTTAGGTTCTGGCTCTGTTTCCTTTCCCTTAAAGAAACAGATGAATATTGCACCACAGGCATGCATGCACATAACTTTCACTTCTTCGAAAATAGGTAGGCAGTCATAAAAAAGTATTGATTTCACTGCTAGGACAGGTATAAAATAGATGTCCTCGTGCTCTTCCAGCAAATTCCAACACAGGACAGGAGCATACTGATTCATAATTATTCATCAAGAATATGCTTCCCCAAAAAAAGAGGGTGCTGCAACATATTGAACCAATACAGATATACTATTTACCTTTCGTTTTTCATGGTTATCCCTAAGCAGAACTGTATATGTCTAAACAATTTCATTTGATCACTATTTTCAAACCAAACGAACAACACAACATTGAAATCTTACATCTCTTCGCCTTCAAAAGTGAGGCTACGTAGCAGAACCATATGTACATATTGAGGCCATCATATGAAAGTTCAAACTGATCAAAAAACAACAGACTAGTGGCATGATATGGTATGGTTGGCATTCACATGGTTTCAAAAGCTGCTTTGCTGATGCGATTGACAGCTTGACCTGTTTTCCAAGCACTGACTTATATTATCAGTTGAAATACCAGCACTAGTTGCCACCACCTTCACAAACCAAGTTCAGCAGTTTCTCAAGTGTGACCTAGGCTCTGATTAACAACTCATAAACATTACTGTTATTATCCCCCGACACACGCTTCAACATTTCAAAACTTTTACGACTTCCCAAAAAGTCAATCCGCTTGAATTCCAAATAACCAAGCTCTGCAGTTGTTTTACTAGAATACACTGATCGCAGCCGGTCAGCATGTCTGGAATCAGTATGAAGGGCAACCTCTACTTCTGCAGCTGACATGTTTTCCTATGGAAGCATTACCAAAATTAGAAACTGACAACAAACCTCCTTTTCATGTACAAAAAATGCTCATCGAGCCATCTCAGTTAAGTAGGTAACAACATTGGCCTGGATACCTAAGGTGCCAGGTTCAATAACCAACCTGTATTGTATCCAAAAAAAACTGTACAACTAAGCCTCAAGTGAGAAACTTGTTTATTTGTGGCACCATTTCCCAATAACATTGACCATGTTATTAGTGGCAGCCCAAAATCATTACTAAGACATAAGAACAGCATATCCACCTTTCAAAATATATCCATCTGCATTGAATCTGGTTTTACTAGTTATCCGCACAAATGGACATTATATGTGTATTTGACTAAGAAATATAACCACCATACTGCTAATTCATATGCATATTTCTGTAAAAACTCTCACTTCATAGACGAGATATAAAATATTTTTTAAAAAAATTCTTTAAATAAAGATATGAATTATACTGGACATCAAAATCTTCCACAGGTTTCATAGGTACAGTTTTTCTGTTCCCATTGAAACCAAACAGTACTACCATGAAGTGCCCAGCAGGGAGAATTGGTCATACACTATCTGTTCTTAAAGGTACTTCCAATTTACCTACACAACATTCTACTTTTCTTATCCTCAATCAAGAAAGCGCATGAAACCCAATCATTGTTTAACATTGGTAATGATTATGCAGATCCAGCAGTAAGAAAACCAAATGATTCATAAGAAGAAGTAAGGACCAGAATCAACAAGAAAAAATAAGGGTTTTACAGTTTCAAAAATATAGGCCAAAGGAAAGATATCAAGCAGTACCTGATAGAATGCATAGATGTGATCCAACACCTGCAAACATGTAAAGCCTTTATCACTGAAAAATGTCCTCGAACAGGGTCCCATCTCAGAAAATCGATCAACGGGGAATAATATGGTAAGGAAGTGGCTCTTGAATATTAACTCAGACTTCTCACTGCAATCATGAGGATATCATTAGATAGCAACATATGTGTACCTTATAACATCAGATATACTAAAAATACAAATTCCCCGTGTACAATAGGTAACTTCTGAAACATTGATGACATATATTATCATTCTCTACAAGAACTTATACTTTCAAGGTGAACGTCTACTACATCATTGAGGGGATATTTTTCAAGTATTATTTCATGTATTCTACTAGTTAAAGAAATCAAGGATAGTAAACTATTGCTTTAGGGCAAAAAGTGGAAAATTATTTCAGAGAGGAATTCATTTCAGTAACCTTTCTGTAAGCGGTCGAGACAAGTTGACAAATGATGCTTCAGATTCTTTTCCATCTGCCTTTGCATCAAAGAAGACAAATGTATCTTGGTCATTGGCATCCTCTACACTGGAAGACTCAGTATAGATAGTGGCAGATGAAGTTGGTTCAGATATTGACCAGCATACAGAATCCAGAAGGCTGCTCGGGTTAATTGGACGCATTGGGGTTTGGCATGTCTGCAACCACAACAGATGAGGTAATTATTCAACCTGAATATAACATAAATAAAAAACCTGACTTCAATAGCTAACTCCCAAATCTACCTGCATTCGGCAATTACGGCGTTTCCTAACCCAGTCTTTGGCCAGGTTAATAATCTTCTGTCGTTCTTCGTGGCTGACTTTTAGCATGGAAGTTGGTGCATCTTGAAGACAAATAGACCCACCAAATTTCTAATAATGGATCAAAAAATAAAAATTTTATCTCAAAACTAATTTCCTTAAGCACAAAATCACTAATTAAGCTGCAAATAACTAGGGAAAAAGGCTAAAAAACTCTAAATGAAAAATACAAGTCATGTAGGATGAACGTAGTAGGAAACATAATTTTAAATTAGCATGCTATAGGAAGTGATAGAAGTTCAAATCTTGGAAAAACAAACAGAACTATAGAAAAAAGGGAAGTGGAAATACATATGCACATCAACTCTTGGCTAACTATACATTGTCAACCTAGAAACCTCGTCTCCAGAAAATGTCTGTCAATTTATCTGAAAAACTTTAAACTCCCAAGCACTAAGTATGGAAACAGAAGGACATATTGATCACTTGGACAAAATGTTCCCTTTTCAAGCAAGGTTTTGTTTTACTAACTTTACATAAAATTGCACTCAGATGTGGTAGTTGACTTTTTCCTCCATTGTTGCAGCATGTTTCTTCTTTTTCTCTTATGCAACCAATAACATGAAAAGAACATTGTTGGGATACTTAATCCAATTATCATTACATCAAAGAAACAATATTGGTGATAAATGGAATATTAAACTGTTGGTCTAAAACAGTGTCTTGCATTGCACTGGTTCAAGCGTGCAAGTGCTACTAAAAAGTATCCTAATTTTCAATCTGCAAATTGTGCATGAAAGAAAGCTTTAAGTATCTTTAATTTTATTAACTCTATGCAGTCAACTAAAGTGCAGTGTTTTTATGTACTCTAGTGATCTGTTAAGTGAATGTTCTGTTCTGCATTTGATTTGATAATTGCATAATATCCATTTAGTATTAAGATGAGTGTTGTAATTATCATGTTGCTTTAAATGTCTTGCCATATTGATCTTCCTCTACATGTAAGTTCACCCTCAGCAGTTACCATTTTTCTACTCAACTGGTGCTTCTAATAGTCATTTTCACAGATGATCTTCCTTTCTTCGGAATCCAGAAAATGCACAAACATGCCTTTTAATTCTTGTTCAAAAGTGTCGGCACAATCACTAAGCTAATATATTTATTTATAAATATTTATAATTGTCTTATAAATGCATAAATGTATATAAATATAAAAACATAAAAATTATAAATTATAAATTATAATATACATTTACATAATATTCATTTATAATTTATATATTTATAGTAATATACATTTAAACATTTATAAATATATTTATATTATGTATTATATATAATATAATACATTTATATATAAATATATGAATATATTTATTTTTAAAAGTATAAATATATTTTATAAAATATTTATTTATAAATATTTAAATTTTATTTATAAATATTTAAATTTTATTTATTTATAAATGTATTATAAATGCATAAATATGTATAAATATAAAAATATAAAATATAAAATTTATACATTTATACATTTATACATTTATATAATATTCATTTATAAATATATTTATATTATGTATTATATATAATATAATACATTTATATATTTTTATATAAATATATTTATTTATAATTGTATAATTGTATATTGTTATAAAAATATAAAAATTATAAATTATAAAAATACTCGAAAATATGTTTTAAAAATACATCTAAAAAGAATCCATAAAACATCTACAGTAAAAGTTTTTTATATAATTTTTTAAAAACAACCCAAAAAACAACTAATCCAAACGGACTTATATTTGAAAAACGAAATGCTACAGTGCTGTTTTTGAAAAACAATCCCAAAAACAGTTAATCCAAACGGACCCGAAATGCTACAGTGCTGTTTTTGAAAAACAATCCCAAAAATAGCTAATCCAAACGGACCCTGATAGTTTCAAAATAAAATTCTCATATGGCACACCTGTCATTTGAACTAAATATGCATGATTTTAAAATTAAGTGGTTAGTGATTATCTTATCTACAACATTGTGTGTTACAACATTTCAATTTAGTATACATAACTTCAAACTAGAATATACATTGTGGCATGTCCAAAGTTCAGGTTTTTGGTTGTAGGGAAGAAAAAATTATCGTCAATTTTTATAGTGCAGATTAGAGGTGTCAACTACAACTCAATTATATTGACCCACCCAAACTCGTCCATTAATAAGTGGACTTTGGTATGCAATGAACTTTGAATGGGTTTAAATGAATACTCAATTAAACTCATTTAATTGGTGGGTAGTGAATTGATTCAGTTCTCCTATTTATACTTATTTAAAAATAATTATACATTTAAACTCAATTTTTAGAGGGTGTTTAGCAGATAAATTTGAATTTTTTAGAGCAAATTATCCGAATAGTCACTAAACTTTTTTAATAGTTAAAATTTGATCACTCAATTATTTATAGTATATTTTTACCCACTGAACTATCAAAAATGTAAATTTTTGGCTATTCCATCATATTCCACTATTAATTCTACTAGATATAAGACTCCGCACGATTCACGAGACATACTATTAATAATTAGATCTGGTAGAGTTAATGTGAATTCAAACAGAATGGTCCAAAATTTACATTTTTAATAGTTCAGTAGGTAAAAGCATACAATTAATAATTGAATGGTTAAAACTCGACTGATCAAAAAGTTTAATGGCTACCTTGGTAATTTGTTCAATTTTCTACCAATCTAATATCAATAAAATATCATTATTTCTTATCAAATAACATAAGAAAATTTTTTTAAAAAATAAATAGAATTTTAAATAAATCATAAATTGATAATTGGATATATCCATACCCATTTATTAAATAGGTATAAATAGATTGATCCAATTATAACCATTATCCAATTATGACCAACACAAACCCGTTCTAGTGACCCATTTTAACACCTCTAGTGTAGATGCACTATATCGGTTCTTTCTCTATCTCATAACCTCGTATATAACTGCTACAGTTGTTTTATAAACTTCTTTGATGATTTTCAAGCATGTCTTCCAATCCCTCTTGTGATAAGAAGAGACTACAAGTATTCTTTATCCAGATTGAGTGGGGAAATCAAAGTGCTTATTTTTTATCCTATTATAAAATACAATTGGATTTACAGAATGGTATGTCACCTAAAGGTATGGTCCAACAAACCTGAAATCTAAAAGGACAGTACTACATGTTATTTTATGTACATAACAACCAATACTTTTCAAATCAAACTAAATTACCTTTCTCTGATCTCGAATTACACCGACCAGATACAACCGGACCAGTGCGGATTGAAATTGGGAATTATGTCGTGGACACGAGGTTGGGATGGATGGTGGTGAAGAAGAAGAATTGAATGAGCACTAGCACTTTTTTTTCTATTTTTCTTTTTTCCACCTCAATTCTTTAACGAAACAATAGTGGTTAGCTTCCTGCGATTGTTGTAGATCTCAGGGAGGCATGTCATACTATCCCATGCAATTGCAGTAATTCTATTATTTCATCATGTATTTGTCCCATGTCATTACAAGGACTTAGAAATCCTATACTTTCTCGAGATTTTGGAGACCAATGGCAATTGAAATTTTGGTAAATTTTGATTGCCTACTTTTATTCTTGTAATTCGTCACCAATTCTAAAGATTGTGAAAATTTTAGTCAAATTGGTGAGTGATTTAAAAGTTATAGGCATATCATTTCTAAAAAAAAAACTAAAAAAAATTGTAGACATCTAACAATTTTAGAGAGAGGGAGAGAAGGCTAAGAAAGTAATGTTTAAGAGATTATCTGTTTAGATTTGCCCATATTTCATAAACTAGTTTTTTTACCGAAAATGCTATAGTAATAAACGAACAAAAACAACTCCTAAAACACTTCAAGTTTTTCAAATACACCTAATTTAAAAAAAAAAAAAACAAAACTCTACCCCCTTTCTTTTCTCACCTATCACCTATCATTTACCACCACCACTCATTACTATCAGATACCACCAACCGCCACCACCTCCACCCATCACTACCACCACCGCCCCCCTCCCTTCCCCTCTCTCTCTCCCCTTCCTCCTTCCCCTCTCTCCTCCCTTTCTTCCTCCCTTTCCCTTCCCCCCTATCTTCCTCCCTCCTCCCACCCCTCTCTAGTTATCCCCTATGTTTTCAGACTCGGACCGGGTATCGACTCGGTCAGGGTCAGGGGTCAGGAGTCAATGGGTTCGACCGGGGGTTAAATCGGATGACGTCATAAATAAAAATCATTTAGAAATTAAAATATATATTTAAAATATCTAAGATCATGTTAGTATTAACAAAGGTATAATCATATATGTTTAATGTTTCAAATGTATTTAACAATAAAATACAAAGAAATTAGAATAATCAAGGAGCAATTTATATTATTTAATGAATATTAACAAGTTTAGAATTAAAATTATGGACTTGATTAAAAAATAACACCAAACTTTAGGACAAGTATGAAATATTTGAGGTATATTAATAGTTTTTAACAACTTAAGGTCAAAACATAATATTAAAAATGTTTTGATCCTATATCAGATGAAAGTGCTTTGAAGTTTGACCCCACGCCACACCTCTCATTTCTTCCTCTACTCCTGACGGTGTCACTTCATCTTCCTGCAACTTCTTTCTTCATCTTCTACGCCATTCTGCAACTCATTTCTTCTTCTTCATCTTTTTTTTTATTTCATTTTCATTCTTATTTTATTAGTTATTTGTTCTCAAACCCATGAAATATCATGCTTTTATCTGATTTCTGCAAACTGTTCTCTTCTCCACGCTCTTTTTTGCATTTTTGGGTCTATTTTTTTCTTTTGAATACAAGATCTAAGATTATATCTTATTTTTAAAAAGGGGTAAAACATTGATTTTTCATGCTTGAATTGAAGTCAAAGAGTGAAAATGGATTTGCGGAGGAGGGAGAGCTCACAAGGATTTGGGGTTAAGAGGTCAGGAAGGGTAAAAAAGAATTTAAAATGGAGAATAAGAAAAACGCGGTTCGTACGGGTTCTTCCGATTTTCGGTCAAACCTGGTCAAAACCGGGGTTTGACCAAGTCTTGACCAATTCGAGTTTTT